AATGAAATATGTCTTCTCTGAGATTGTTCAGAGCTGGCCTGGAACACTAAGAAGAAAGAGGAGAGGGATTAATAAGGCTGAGGGTGCTGTCCACCTAGCTTTCAAATAAACTTATCCTAAATTATAGGTCTACTTTCTACCTTGAGCAAGGACTCCTCCCTTCTCAGCTAGGCAAGAAATGAATACAGTTCAGCTAAAATTCTAGTTTCTTTATCATTAACTTCTACTACATTGCCACAAACAAATCTTTAAGAATTTGGACTTCGGGCTCAGCATGAGAGAATTCTGCTCTGTAGAGATGCATGTTTACACCTGTGCACACACAAACGACCAGGACAGGTTGTGAGAGAGTGTCATCTGCTGTCCACTTGCATATGTGGGCAGCAGTTGGCATACATGCTACCTCTGCCATATGTGTGGGATGGTGAGAGCACAGGGAAGCAACGTTAGGATGCATCCTTGCAATGCATGGGATTTGGGTTGACCCTCTTGCTGGGCTGTGGACTCATCTAGATGAAATACAAAATGATGCTATGGTGGTTGGAAAGGGTATCTTAAGCTAGGAAGGGCTAGATCACTCTCTGGGTCAGTTACCACCACCTAACCAAGCTGTGGCCTTCAGAGGAAATTGCACCTCAACAGAACTCTGGACATTGTAGCAATTTTTTTAAAAAATGCGATCTTATTCTATCGCCTGGCCTGGAGTAGAGCGGTGCAATCATAGCTCACTGCAGCCCAGAATTCCTGGGGTCAAACGATCCTCACACCTCAGCCTCCCAAGTAGCTGGGACGACAGGAGCGTGCCACCGTGCTGGCTAATTTTTTAACTTTTTTTGTAGAGATGAGATCTTGCTTTGTTACCCAGGCTGGTCTCGATTTCCTGACTTCAAGCAATCCTCTTGCCTCAGCCACCCGAAGGGCTGGGATTAGAGGGGTGAGTCACCGTGCCCAACCTGGTAAATTTGACTCATAATGAAGTTTGCGTTTGAATAAGACAAAGTCTTCAGGAATTTATGTTGGGAGAGGGCAAGATGGATGGTTGCAATATCTACTTGGGTCCAGAAAAACAACTTAAGACCAGAGGCCACCCACCCAAGAGACAAGCAGGGAGCCAGGAGAGACGAACGCCATGTGAGGTGCTTGCAATGTTCTGGGAGGATTTTGAGCCTAGATGAAAAATTCTTATGGTGAGAGGGCCTGAGACCCTTGCAAAGCTTTTGTCTACTTCCCCTGCATCAGATCTTAAGATTATATACTTATATTTTAGAAATGTAATTTTATTTATTTTATTCTCTCCTCCAAGTTCTTTTAAAATATGCTGACTGGTCTCTGGTATATTAAAAGAAAGCAAGGTGAAAGGATTTGCTTCACAAACAGGCTAGTCTTCTGCAAGGATCAAGGGCACATCTCTGACACCTGGGACTGGCAGCGGTAGCTTGAATCAAAGGGAGAAAACTCTGAGATCGGATACTATATGCCAAGCCCTTTTGTGTTGGTCAATTTTAGATGTTGACTAGGGTAAGGGCTGCCCAGATACCACATAAAACCTTTCTGGGTGTGTCTGTGAGGGTGCTTCTGGAAGAGGTTGGCAACGGAATTGGGAGGCTGAGTTAAGATGGTCTGTCCTCACTAGTGCAGGCAGCCATCATCCTACCCTCCGTCAAGGCCCCACATAGAGCACCGAAGGCTGAGGGTGGGCAAATTGCTCTCCTCTGGAGCTGGGGTAGCTTCTCCTGTCCCTTGGACATCAGAATAGGTTCTCAGGTCTTTGGACACAGACTGAATTACACCACCAGCTCCTCTGGTTCTCCAGCATTCAGATGGCATATCATTGGACTTCTCAGCCTCCATAATTGCATGTGCCAATTTCTATAATACATCCCATTATATCTCTATATGTATATTTGATATCAATATTGATGTCTATATCAACCCTATTAGTTATATTTTTTTCCGGAGAACTCTAATATATACCTTCCTTTCTAGTTATTTCTTCTAGCAGTCATTTTTTTTGCTTCAATTTTGAAGACTGTTTTCATTGCGAACTGTATCATCCAAAAACGGCTGCAACACTCTCTCCCATCCCATAAGTTCTTCTTAAAATGTTACGGGGGCCAGGTGCGGTGGCTCACGCCTGTAATCCTAGCACTTTGGGAGGCCGAGGTGGGTGGATCACGAGGTCAGGAGTTCGAGACCATCCTAGCCAATATGGTGAAACCCTGTCTCTACTAAAAATACAAAAATTAGCCGGGCGTGGTGGCGTGTGCCTGTAGTCCCAGCTACTCAGGAGGCTGAGGCAGAAGAATCGCTTGAACCTGGGAGGTGGAGGTTGCAGTGAGCCGAGATCACGCCACTGCACTCCAGCCTGGGTGACAGAGTGAGGTTCTGTCTCCAAAAAAAAAAAAAAAAAAGTGACAGGGACACTGTTCTATTGCGAGCTGGGGAACTGTGTCCTCTCCCTTTGAATTGGGGCAAGTTTTTGACCCTGATGGAAGTGACGCTATTTGTCTTCCAAGGCTAGGATCTAAAGGGGAATATGCCTTTCACCTGGTTCTACTGGGACGCCAGCTTTTGGAACCTAGCCACCATGCCTTGAGGAAGCCCAGGCAGCCTGCAGAGAGGCCCACTTGAGGAAGAATCACAGCCCTTTGCTGGTAGCCCAGGCTAACAGCCAGCGTCAACCTATAGCCACGTGAGTGAGCCATCCTGGCCATCCTGAAAGAAGAAAGATCCACACCCCACTGGAGCTGATGCAACATGAAGTAGAGAAGAGCCGTCCTCACCTACCAGTGTCCAAATTGCAGATTCATGAGCAAATGAATGAGCCTTATTGCTTTAAGCCATGATATTTTGGGCTGGTTTTACATGGCGACAACTGATACAGTTCCGTATTTATGTAAACACTAAACATGCTCTTTGGTGTTTGTGTTGAGTAAATTGCTTTTATTTAGAGCTGGCTCTCCTTTTCACAAGCAGCTGTCCCAACAATTGTTCTACCCTGGATTCTGCAGTGAGGTCTGGAACCACTGAGGAAGGTGAGAAGTGACAGGCAAGTGAACTATTGTTTTTGAGTCCTCCTTGTTCAATGACTGTGAAGAGGGAATGAGGATAGTTTCCTCTTCTCCTACACTTGAAGCCTCTTTCAGCCCCTTTTCTCATATGTCCTCCAAAGGCCTCTGGGGATGTGTAGGTAGGTGGCTGCATGTGGCTTTTTTTCATAGACACACTGATGGGATTATTGTTTTGTATTTCCAACAAGTCAATGCCTCTTAAAAGAAGACGACAGACACTCCCATATCTGATATACATAGCATCCCTGGATATATTACTGCATTTATTAGTGACATCGATGACATTCAGGTACACCTATGAACTGCTCAGGGAAGTGGCTCATGTTCCTCCCTCATGTCCCTCTTGGACATCTGGGGTCCATGCTCCCCTTGAACACTCAACTGGATGTGTCTACGCTAGGAAGGGGCAGCCATCCGTTCTGGGTCCAAAGCTCAGCCATATGCCAGGAGGAAAAGATTTGATCAGACTCACTCCCCACTGTAAGCTCATACAGTATATCTCTCTTTAGCTGATCTGAAACCCAGTTGAGATATGTCTAATGATGATGATGATGATGAACTTTTCCCTTTCTATCTTAATTTTCTTCCCCTTCCTCTCTGCCTTCATCCCTTGTTCCACCGTTGCCAGTAGAATTATCCAGAATAAATTTATTCTCCTCTTTAGATAGATCTTTTAAACCCCTTCCCAACCCAATTCATGTTCTAAAGCTTGTTATGTGTTTTTTCTTTCCAATTTGACGGACACTTTTGTTGTTGTTGTTGTCTGTTTTTTAACAGGATCTCATTCTGTCACCCAGGCTGGAGTGCAGTGGCATGATTACAGCAGCCTAGAACTCCTGGGCTCAAGCAACACTACTGCTTCAGCCTCCTGAGTAGCTGAGACTACTGGCATGAGCCTCCACGCCCGTCATCCATTCTGATAGACAACTCTACTTTTTTTAGCAGAAGCCACAACCCTGGGTAGGACAAATGGATGGCCAAAGAAAGCAGTCAAGATGGGTGGTGAGAGTGGCTCCATCTTCTTCCTTGCCCCACAAGCCCCTAGGAGAGGGTTTCTCTGAGACCTGTTGTTTCCCGCTCCATACCTAACAATGGTGAGGAATTGGGGCCAGCCTTTGCAGATCCAGCACTTTTCTCTAGGCCACAGTTAGCTGCTTAGAGGTTTTGGGAGGAGAAGGATCCAGTTATGACCAATTCTGCAAATGGATTCCAATATGTCTTTACAGTCCTGGGGCCCTGGGAAAGTGTGTAAGAGTGTGTGTGTGTGTGTGTGTGTGTGTGTGTGTGTGTTGGGGGTGGAGTTATTCCGGGTCATGCCACCTGGAAATCACTGCATCAAAGAGACCTGGAGCAGCTCACTTAATTGTCCCCAGAAAGGCATCTTTGCCCAAGAAGATAACCAAAATCATGGCTCAGGGAGAGATGGCCCCAGGTTATGCATCTTGAGTGTGTTTGCACGGGTGGAGGGGTGGGTAGGTAGAAGGTTATTCAAGAGTCCTGGTTCTCCACATCTATCCAGGCCCTCAACCTTTATTAATGTGCTCACTGACTGCTCTGTTGGGGGCCTCTTTCCGCCTCCGGGCTGGTGGTGAGCTAAGAGGCTTCCGGTGTCAGGGAAGGCTCCACCTTCGGTATTCAAGGCCACTTTCTGTGCATGTGTGTGCACCTGTGCGCACGCTTTCCCAGAAGCAAGTCTCTTTGCTGTTTTGGGAGCTTCATGTCCTGGAGCCAGGGCTTTGTGCTAATGAGTGCTTTGAGAGGATGAAATTCCTGAGCTCTGGCTCGCTGACCCTCTGCCTTCCTTCCTTGGCCAACAGCCCGTCCCAGGGAGCCGGTGTGATTCTTACCACTGCCTTCACTCCTTGAAAGAACAAACATCTTCACTGCAGCCTGTGAGCGCTGGTATGAGGTGATTGTTTATAGTAGATGTTTCCATGACACTCATTTATTTCTTCTGCAAATACAACTGTATTGGGGGAGGGGACAGAGACAGGATAGGGTAGGGAGACTGGAACATATGAAGACCTTCCAGTTTCCTATTTACATTCCTCTGTAGGACGAGAAGCCCCTTCCCTTTCCCTGGGTCTCCACCATCCCAGACTCCTAAAGCGTCCCCCAAACCCATCTTGGTTTCGTGCGGTAGAGACGGGGCTGGGCTCCGAGTAAGGTGGGGAGGGGAGGAACCATGTGCGTGAGGAAGCAGCTTTTATCAGGAGAAGTGGGAAAAAGCCCCAACTTTGACTGCTCGGTGTCGGGATTCAGTAATGACGAGCAGCAGTGACCAGCACCGGGGGTGGAGTGTGTGTGCACGAGTGTTCCTGAGGGGTCTGTGGCACTTCGCAGCTGAGCCAATGACTCACTCTAAATCTGAGCGACTTTGAGAGGTCATTTTAGTCATCCCCCGGTCTGCATCACGTTTGGAGGGGGTGGTGCGCTGCTCTGGGGACGTGTCTGGGTGCGGAGGGAGTGGGGGTGGGGAGGCGGCGCGTGACCTCTTTGAAAAGATCTCCGGCGAAGGACGTTCCCCAGCTCTCCCGGGCCGCCGGCTCCTGGGTTTCCCCATCATAGAATCAGCATGGTCCTCTCGGGAACTGCTGTTTGCAGGATGGAAACCGGATGTTGGCTTCCATGAGTGGGCGGGGGCTCCACTTCCCTCAGACCTGTCCGGGGTAATTGCGACCCGTCAGGGTCCCGTTAGAAGCTACCATTTCCTTCACTCACCAGAAACTTGCCACGCAGTGTGAGCCGAGAGAGAAGCGAGCAGAGACGCTACACCGCCTTCTCCCCGGCAATGCGCATGATTCTGCGGCTCTGTGCTCGCCACACTTCAACGCACCTTGAAATGGGCTCGCCTCCTTCGCTCCGCGACGGGCGGACGGCTGAGCCAATCGGACCCCGGGATTGAGGGAGGCGCCCAATAGGCGGGCGGCGGGGGCGGTTCCGGAGGCCCGGCCCGGCTAGGCTTCACCGTGGACCTGGCTGCGCTCCGCCCGGGCGAGTAGTGCAGGTGCCGCTGCGCCGGGGCCGGGGAGGCGCGAGCCGAGCCGAGCGGAGCCTAGGAGGGATGGAGAGCTGGCCGCCCGGGCTGCAGGAGCACCGGCGCGGGGCGTAGGCGGCGCGAGGCGGGCGCGAGGCGGGCGCTCGGGCGCGAGGCGCGTGCGGGCGCGGGAGCACTTTGCGATAGGATGAGGCTCCGGGCTGGCGCGGTAGTACTATGATTTGGTATGTGGCCACTTTCATAGCAAGTGTGATCGGCACCCGAGGGCTTGCGGCTCAAGGTGAGTTGAAGTGCGGCGTTTCTCCCCTGCCCCTCCCAGCGCCCTCGGCCCCTCGCGCTCGGCCCCCTCGGTTTCCCGGTTCCTCGGCCCCCCGGTTCCCCAGCTCCCCAGCGCGCCTTCCCGCGGGCGAGGCTCGGGCTCCGGCGCGGGCCAGGCGCGCCGGGGAGCATTGCCGGGGAGGGCCTGCGGGCCGTGGGCTGGAGGGGCGGGCGGGAAGGGGCCAGAGCCCACGGGCTGCCGGGCACTCGGGGAAAGGACGCAGTGGAACCCAGGTCGACTTCGCCCACCACGGGCCCCGCGGTGCACCCCGGCGCGCCGAGCCCGTCGCCTCCTACCCGGCGGCCGCCTCCCAGAGCTGCGGGAAACTCTAGCTGCGGGAGTTCGCGGTCTCCGGGCAGGCTGCAGCACGCTCGAGCCGCGCGCCGCGAGGAGCGCCTGCGGGGAGGCGCGACCCGGAGGATCCCTGGGACTCGCGGCACACGAGTCTAAGGCCCCGGGTTCGCGGCCCTGCGGGCGCCCACCGTTTCGCTCGCGCCCCTCCTGCCCACACATCTTGGCAGCTGGAGGTTGGAGCCCCCTAACAGGGGCGCCTGGTGAGAGGAGGACTGATGAGGCCGGCTTCGAGGTGTGTCCGCTTTTGGCCAGACCCGGCCGGCGCCCGCGCCTCTCAGCCGCACCTGGGCCCAGGCCAGGCAAAAGTTCCCCGGGAGCGCGCCGCAGCCGCGCGGGCCCCACGCCGCCCTCCCCGGCTGCGAGGCAGAGCTGGATGGGGGCTGGAGGGAGGGGCGGGGGAGAGGGGTCCCCACGCTGTGAATCCGAGCGGAGGGGGATTTTCTCTTTCCGCTTTCCTGGGTCTGAGCTGGGGGAGACGCGAGGGGGAAACCGCCGAGTTGGGTGATGCGTGCGTGAGCGCGCGGGCTTTTGCTTTGGCGATGGGCAGAGCGACCTACAAGCCTCTGGGTGGCACCCCCGGCTCTCGGCCCTTGTATGGAAGTGGGAGCGGAGCCTGGAGGGAGCCAGGACTGTGAGCTCAGGGCTGTCAGCGCGCAGACACGACCCAGCTGCGGGCAAGTTCACCAAGCCCGAGGAGATGGCGGCGGGAGAGAACCCGCTGTGGGGGGAGTCAGCAGGCAGGACTCGCCGACGGAGCACCCTCTCCCAGCGGCGTGGGGCATCGGGTGGGCTGGAGGCGCCTCTCGCGGGGTCCCTCGTCACCGGTCTGTGCAGGGGGGAGTGCTTCAAGAAACTTTCTGGAATGGAATGAATATGTCGCCTCTGCTTCTGGGGAGGGTGGTGGTGTCTGAAAACAGAATGAGCAGAGGGCGAAGGGAAGGGTGATTACAGTGTTAACTGACATGTTGGTCCGGGCGGTTTTAAAACTCTTCGTTTGTCAGGTGGGAACACTGAGGCAAGGGTGATGGCGGAAGCTTACGGAACGCGGGGTGGATGTGAGGTGGGTCGGGCTGCGCTTGACAGTCTGCCTGTAGCCTCATCCTCTCCCCCATTTCCTTGCCGTCTTCCAATGCCCGCATCCTCCTCCCCTCCCGTTTTTGGTATGTTCCTGCTATGGGACTGTCCCTGAAAGCACAAAAGGATGAGCTGGGATCTTTGAATAGAACAGAGACGCTGAAGGAAGGCTCTGAAATAGCCTACAAACCTAAGTCAGGGTGGGCAATGGACTTCTTTGCAAGTTTAAGCCCAGAATAAAGGAAAATGAGTTTATACTGCAACAACACACAGAATCGCAAGATAGAAGGAAAGGCTTCCCAAAATTGAAGGTTGCCCGGCATGAAGGTTATGCCCTCTTTCAGGGTGCAGAGGGGTCCTTCTGTCTGGAATGGCTGGACATGTACCCCTGTCTGGAAGCAGAGGGTGACCTTACTGGTCTTGGGGTCTTTTTTAGCCTCAAGTGCTCTGTGTGTGGTTAGTTAAGGACCTAGGTCTAGAGCCATATGACTGGGATTTGAATTCTGGCTCTGCCACCTGCTGACCCTGTGACCTTGGGCAAATTCTCAACCTCTCTAAATGTCACTTGCCTCAATAGAAAATGTGCTAACGGTATGCGCTTTTAGGGTTTTTAGGTGGACATGAGTGTTATAAGGAAACAAACAACTACCTGTTATATAGTATGTGCTCAGGAAATATTAACATCATTTTCTCAGTGTCCCTGGGATTCCAGGATCCTCCTCAATTTCTTTCCCTTGGGCCATTCAGGGCACTAGGAGCTGGGAATATGTTGCAGGGAAGTTCAGAAGGCTGCCCATGTCAGGAAGTAAGACCCCTTTCTGGGCTGACCTTGTCTGGGCAGAACCTCTTGTCCCTGGCATCCCAGGGACGTGCGCAGGGTGTGCAGGCCTCAGAGCTGCTCGGAAGTCCTTTGCAAGGTCTCCAAAGCTGGAATGTTGTCAGTGGCCAGAGGTTTATGGAAGGACACAGCCCGGGAGGTGAGAGCTTATAGCACACAGCCTCTGGAGGGAGCGGGTGGGTGCCCGCTCGTGTGAGCAGCACCAGCCAGTGTTCACATGCTAGTGAGGCTCCCTGCGAGAGCTCAGCTGTTCCCTGACTGGCAGAGGTGACTTCTGGGGAAGTCCCTCAGCAGGAGGGACTTTGAGATGCCACCCTTGGGAACTGGCCATAGCAGGGGCTGCTCCGGCAGAGGGGAAAAAGGGATGATGTTGTGTTGGGACCCAACTCCATCAGCCCTCGGGTGCGGCACAGAGGTTGGAATGGGCTCTTCCTTTTGACTTTGAGTGTGTGTGCCTGGGAGGTGATTAAGGTCAGTGGACAGGTTGGGGGAGTGTGGAGAAGAGAGGGGCTGAAGTGGTACACAGAACCTGGAAGACGGTGATTGGTGTAGACTCAGTATCTCAGACGGCTGCTGAGCCCGCCCAGGGGAGTTCCTACTCTGTGGGAGGACCCTGGGCCGTGCTTAGCTGACTGTGGACCTTGGATAGGGGAGGCAAGTCTGGGACTTTCCTCCCACGCCTGCCTTCTCTGTCTGCCACAGATTCTGTGGTTGCATTATCCCTGACTACAGTGTCCCCAAATACAATGAGGTTCTGACTCAGATCCTGCTACTAGTTGGACCATTGCCCTCTACTTTCTACCTGGCCTTGACCTACCCTTCTTCCTTTTGGTAATGAAGATGGGAGGGTGGAGGTTTGGACTCAGAGGTTGCTATCAAGACCCCGTGGTGAGCCTATCAGCTAAGAAGGACTTAACTCAGGAAGTGGTCAGTGTATGGATGGATGTGTGTGTGTGTCCTCAGCACACATACGCTGGGGACAGGAGTGTGTCTGGCAGCCTGTGCCCTGGGGGATGTGAAAAGGGCTTGGCTGAGGGTAGTGGGAAAATCAGCTTTCAGCTGTGGGCCTGTGGCCCTGCACGTGCTGGTCTTGGAGTTGCAGGGTTCCAGACCTGGAATGGTTTCGTGTTTATGGCTCTGAGACAGAAAGCTGGGATCTGGTTACAAAAGAGCAGAGGCTGCCTGGCTGGAAGATTCTGAGCCCCAGCATCACTCTGGCCCTCACTCCAACCTCCTGTGCCTTTGCCTCTCCCCGGCCCGGGTGCTGGCTTGTGTCTTCTTCCTTGGCCCTCTCTTCCTTAGCCCTGCTGGCTGCTCCCTGCTGGGTGCTTCAAGATGTGGGGGTGGGAGATAAGCTCTAAAGAGGGCTGGGCCTGAGATTTGAGGTAGCCCTCTTCTCCACATCCTGTGGCCTTCTCAGGCTGGGGTGTAGGGTACTTAGGGAGCGGTCCCCTTCCACCTGCTTCCTAGAAGAGGTGAAGCAGCTTGTGTGAAGAGTGGATCTGAATGGTCAAAGAGCTGCAACTGTTGACAGCTTCCAGCTGTCCAGAAGTGTGTGTGTGTGCCCATGCATATGTGTGCACTTGTGTGTGTGCATACACACATGTTCCTATATGTGTGTACATATGTGTGCCCCTGCATGTGTGCATATATGTGCCCCTGTGTGTGTATGCATGCCAGCATGTATATGCATTGCATATGTGTGCACACCTGTATGTGTGTGCATGTGTGCCCATACGTGTGCATGCACATGCATGTATGCCTGTGTGCCCATACATGTGAAACCTGTATGTGTGCATGCTCACAAGTGCTTGAGTGCCTGTGTGTCTGTGTGCACGTGCGTGGAGTGGCAGGGTGGGGAATTTAGTGTGCAGACACAAGGTGGGGGCCACTCCTCTCCGTGCTGCAGCCCTGAGAGCAGAGAGACCCTCGGAGCCAACTTCTTCCTTCGTATCCCCTCCCACTATGCCGAGGTGCCCTTGGTGCTGGAGTCTAGGCAGCACGGAGGTTATCAGGAGCCCAGGGCCTGTCTGTCTCCCTGAGGGTGTGGCTGTGGTCTCAGTTGCTCACTCCAGAGGACTCTGGGGTTGGACAGGCAGCTTATGCCCATTCCCCACAAGACGCTGCCCATGGGTGTGAGCCCAGTCTGCTGGAGGCAGCTGACCTATTTTTCTTGGGAATCTTCCTGCTTTTCTGTTCTCTCTTGCGTGAATAAGCAGGAGATGGGGCCTCCAAGAGGGCTCTGGA